CTCATGGCCCTAGGTCCTCTCTCCTGAGCCCCTTTGTCCCCTTGGGGGTGGGGGTGTGTTTTTTTCATATAATACCAGCCTGGAGGGACTGATTTGATTTATTACAAAGGGAATTGATGGGTTTCCTAACACAGGTGGCCAGAAGTGGGGTGGATCTGCTTAACCATGCTACTGACCAAGACCGTTCTCAGAACTCCCCCTCTGTGATTTTTGAGAAAGCAGAGGATATGTGAAAGTGCTTTTAAATTGTCAAGTGGGGTTCCCATGAGAGGAGTTACATGCCCCCCCATGACTGAGCACACTAGGCTCATAAAGGGGCACAGCACTCAGTGTGCCCTTGTATGGGGCAGCCCAATCTGGACTGCACCCTTTTCAAGAAGCCTGTTTGGCTGTGCTGAAGAAAGAAGGCTGTTCTTACCCTTCTCCTCGCCCACAGGTGGCTCCCGGGGGCTGGTCCGTGGGCAGCTGTGGCGTCGGGACGGGGTCCTGGCTGTATCCTGTGCCCAGGAGGGCGTGATCCGAGTGAAGCCCCAGGTCTCAAAGAGCAAGCTGTAGCCAGAGGTACCAACTTGGCCTGGGGCTTCAAGAATCTCCATTCTCCCCCCACTTCTGAGGCAGGAGTTACAGTTGAGGGCTGGGCCTTCTGTCCCTCACATCCAATAAAAAGACTGATACCACTGGAGCTGCTGGCCTTTAATTCCCTGGGCCAGAACTGCAGCCCTCCCTCCAGCCATCAACTCCAAGACTCCAGAGGCAGAGTCCCTGGCCCTTCCACCAGGCTGCTTCACTGACTTGGAGGCCCAAGGAAAGGGAAACACTGACCCTGACCTGGGGTACAGCCCCCAGCTGTGCATAAGCTGAAGAGAGTGCATCAGACTTCCTCCCTGCACCATCCCAGGCGTCCCCAGCCAAAACTTTTCCTGAGCCCAGCCTAACAGAAGAACCATGTTTCCTCAGTCTGCTACAAACTCTTTGTGGTACTCCTAGGGGTTCCCAGCACCCCCTAAAGCCTCCCAACTGCTGTTCAGGTCCTCATCAATCCCCCACTGCTGCCATCCTGGGGTAGTGCCTCTCCCCAGGGTGACCTTAAGTCTAGGCAAGATTAGTCCAGTACCTCCTTGATAAGTAATTCTTTGAGACTGGGGGGTGGTGTGGGGGTCAGGCCTGCCTCCTGCAAGGCCTGGAGCCGTGCCTCTGATTGGCGTTTGTCCAGACCCAGGCGCCAGGAGAGCCGGACATGGGCCTCCAGAAAGGGTGCCAACAAAGGGTGGGGGCTCTTGTCCCCCAGCAGCTGAAGGGCCCTCTCACAGCATGCCCGAGCCTCCCCAGGGTCCTCCAGCTCCTGGTGGCACACAGCCAGCCCAGCCAGGGTCAGCAGAGGGCGATCTGGTCCCAAGGGGGTGCCCAGCTGGGCCTGCAGCTGCCAGGCATTGGCCCAGAGCGCCAGAGCCTCACGATAGAGGCCAGTGCAGGTGAGGCTCTGTGCCCTCCTCAGCTCCGGCAGCAGGAAGAAGTCCTGCAGGTCTGGGGCCTGGCGCAGCTCAGGGACTGCCTGCAGGTGGCTCAAAAACTGCTCGAAGGCCCGGCTGCGGCGGGCAATGGTCTCTGCAGTGAAATTCCGGCGCAGGCGCTTACGGGGAAAGGAGATGGCAGCCATGGGGCCCCGGAACTGCCGCTGCAGGTTTCGGTGCAACCGCTCAAAGTCTGAGTAGCGGCGAGAGATCTGGGCTGGCTGGCGATCTGGTTGCCCTGGCCCCATCACGGCGAGGGTGTAGAGCTGCAGGGAGGGTGGGGGTCAGGGCAGGTGTAAATTGTCCATGGGCCCCTTCCTTCCCCACACCCACACTTCCAGTCCTGTTTCCCCCGCTTCCCTTCACCCCTGAGACTGAGCCAGGAAGGTGGGAGCTGCTGGGGTAGCAGCTAGGGAGCCCAGTCTATCTTACCTGAGGCTTGTCTGAAATGACCCAGGCCCAAGACAGCACAAGGAAAGAAAGACAAAGATGAGCTTCAGTGCCTGGAGCTGCTGCCTTTTTGCCCCTTCCAGAAAGTACTCCCTTCCCATTAGGGCAGTTAGCTCTTCTAACAGCCCATTTGGAAAACCAGGGGTGTGTGGAAACCCAGGCCAATTTCTTGGGCCTCTGAGCCAAACTTTAGGAGCTAACACAGAGCTCCCACATCCCTAGCCAGGTTCTTCCAATCCAGACCTGGAGGAAAGATCTTCAGACACCCAGGAATGATCACTGTGAAAAGTACACTGGGCTTGGATTCAAGCTACTCCCGCACTGTGTGACATCAGGCAAGGCAGTCCCCCTCAAGTCAGCTTTCTTCTCTAGTGAATGATGCATTGGCCCAGGTCAGTGTTTAGTCAGGTGTGGGATGTGTACAAATGTTGGTCCTGAGATATGTAGGAGGTATGTGCTGGAGTAAATAACACTGAATCAGAGGCAGGAGGTGATTCCCCCCCTAATTCTCTGTGACTCTTTCTGACTGCAAATTGAGAAGTTCTTTGGTTTTAAAATAGTGCTTCAACACTTCTCAGCTCCATTTTTAGAAAAGAACCAGAAAATGGATCTCTGGTCAGGGCCTTCAGGCAACAACATCCAGGCAGGGTTTAATGACACTTTCCTTTTCACTGCTTTTATTTTTATGGATATTTCCTCTTTATGGCAAGTGAGGCTTTCCACATACAGTAGTGCTACAAAGTTGTCTTTTAAACTTATTTAAGAAAAAAAAGATTTATTTTTAAACAGAGAATGGTAAAAGTAGCATTCAGATGGGACAAGAATTGTTAAGGTGGTACTAAACCAATGTTTGGGGAAAAACACTGAATGAGATCACCATGAGACTTCCCCCAGGTCTGAGAACCCAAACATGGATTAATCTATAAGAATGTTGAGCCAGCAGGTTTAAAGGGATTAGCGAGCATTAATGTTAAAGGCATAGTAACACCAAACCCAGATGTTTCTCTCAAATTTGTTCTGTAAAACTGTCAGTATTATTAGATCAATTAGGTTTGCCTACTCTATCCTTTTCTTGAAGATTCACAGTGTACTTTAAATATTAAGGATTAAAAAGTCAAACAGTAAGGAAACTTTATTTTACTCTTCAACTCTGCATTCTCAAAACACACTGACTGCAAAATCTATTTTTTTTATTTAAAGGAACAGTTATTAACATTCCAGGAAACCTATTTTCTGTAGAACACACTTCAGGAAGAACTGGTCTATAATGACCCCTTATGTTACTCTGGCTCTTACTTTTATTTTTAAATATATTTTTAATTGACTTTTAGAGACAGAGGAAGGGAAAGGGATAGAAAGATAGAAACATCGATGAGAGAGAAACATCATGCATCAGCTGCCTCCTGCATTGTCCCCTACTGGGGATCGAACCCGCAAGCTGGGCATATGCCCTGAGCAGGAACTGAACTGGTAACCTCTTGGTTCCTCGATATACACTCAACCACTGAGCCACACCGGCCGGGCTATTTTTATTTATTTTAAATTTTTTGGCACCAAACCATTTTATATCCATAATCTCATCTGATCCTTGTAATGTCCTGCCAAGATAGGTAATAATGATAGTAGCTCCATTAACTGAGCACCTACCCTGTGCCTCGTACTGTTGCCAAGCACTTTCCATCTACTATTTCATTTCATCACAAAAGCACTGCAGGGAGAATGTCCTCACTCTGACCCGAGGAAGCAGGCTCAGAGGCTTCAAAGATGTCCCCTAAGTCACACAGCTGGGAAATAGCCCAGCTGGGACTCAAACCCAGGCTGACCTAACTCCAAAGCCTGTGTTCTAGCTTCCCCAGGAGAAGTTCAATTGGGATTTAGGGTCCCCACTGGACAAAGGAAGTGATTTGTTTCCCCAGACATCATCAACCAGTGCATACTTGACCATCCTGCTCTATCCTGTCATTCTCCTCCCAGAGTCACCTCCATTCTTCCTTTGTTCCTAGCTGCTGCTTGATAACTGATCCATTGGGCTCCCCTTCCTGTGCATGATGCCTGGCCAGGACTTTTGCCACTTAAGACTTAACAGTCAATCCCTACTCAGAAGCAGTCTGCCCATGGGTGTAGCCCTTGTTTACTAACAGAAGCAGAGAGGGGTGGAGAGGCCCAGATGTGGGACAAGGCTCCAGGCCCCCTTCATGCTGAGTCAGAAATGGAGGAGGGTGGTAAGGAGGCGGGAAGTGAGAGGCAGGGAGCCAGGTCAGGCTGGGTTTCAGGCCTGGCGGGGAGCAGGACCTGGCAGACCTCATTTTCCATGTCAGTTTCTCCTTTCCACAGAGAAGAAAACAGGGACTCCCAGGCCCTCCCCCATATTATTCTTCACCCCACCCCCTAAACGGAGCCCTGAGGACAAGATTATTCTATGCAGGATGGGTGCTGGAGAATTGATTCCCCTGGGTTGTAAGAAGGCCACAGCAGGCCCTAGATGCCAGACATTTTCAATCCAAAGCTAAGTAAAAATAGCTACTTTTTATTTTATTATACAGTTTCTCAAGCACTTCATAATGCTAGGTGCAGTGCTAAGGCCTTTCTGTGCACTGTCTCACTTAAATCCTGTCAGTTCTCTGCATTGTCCCCATTGCTCAGCTGAAACGGGGTCATTAAGGTTGCACAACTCACAAATGTCAAACAGGAGGGGTTTAAATCAAGTTCTGCATCCAAAACCTTTTTTCCTTAAAGCCACTAACCAATGCAACTTGGGTCTCAAGCCTGATCCAGATATTTTTTCCTGTGTACCTTGCATCTTGCTACATTTTGCAAAAGGCTGGGATGAGGGAGGGTGAGGTGAGTGGGGGCACACACACCAGTTCTCTTATTTTCCAAACCAGGATAGGAAGCAGGTCCATAATCTTTACTCAGTCTCAGAGAAGCTATCATTTGCCTGAGGACTTGCTCAAGTTACATCCCCTTTCTGGCCTCAGTTTCACCATCTGTAAAATGGGGGCAGCCATTTATAACTACACAGCCAGCCCTCCTCCCCCAAAGGAAGTAGAAATCTTCCCTACTTTCTCTAAGCAAGACGTGTAGACTCACAGCCAGGGGTTCCTGGGCCCACACTCACCACGTACTTGGAGGGGGGGTCCTTGACCACGTTGGCACTGGTTACCTCGAAGAGCAGCCGCTGGGGTACCAGGGTGTTCCGGGACTTCTTCCAGAAATCCTGCAATTGCCGGGCCAGGAGCTGACTGCTCCGCTGCCCGTCAGGTGAGGGGTTCCGTTCTGCATGAGTACAGGACCAGTCACATCAACTGGCCTGGGCCAGGGTCGACATAAACCATGTGCCATGCCCTCAACAGCTGACATAGCTGTATCCCCATTTGTCATAAATGGAAATTGAGGGCCAGCAGACAGTAGGAGCGAAACAAATATCTCCACCCACGAAACATTCCCTAGCACATTAATTACCATTTGTATCCCAGACTCTACATTTAATGCCCCCAACAACCATGAGATGGGGGCGATTTCCCACTTTTGACACAAGAGAAAACTTGGCTCTTAGAGGTGGTGTGGCTTTCTCGAGGTCACACAGCCTAGAGGTGGCAGGGACACTTAAAGTAGTGTCTAAATTTCTGAGTTGGGCAAGATCAACTCAGAGGCCCCCACGCTCTCGGGACGCCGCTGAGGCGGAGGCCTAACCGAGTCCCCGGTTCCCGCCGCCGCCTCTGCACTCGCCTGCGTCTTCTCCCGACGCCCCGTCCGCAGGGGCCAGCGGGTCCGGGCCGGCCGCCTCGGCGTCCTCCTCGTCCTCGTCGTCCTCGTCGTCCGCGCTGGTGAAGCTAAGGGTGCCGCTCAGGCGGGACGACAGGCCCTCGGCGTCGTCGTCCTCCAGCTCGGAGCTCTCCGGGAACTGCTCGGCCTCGGGGCCGCTCGCCGCCTCCCCGGGGCCCTCGCCGGCCAGGGCGTGTCGCAGCCTGTGCAGGAGCC